CCTTCCTAAGTGGAGCACTTTGCATTTCTCTTTATTAAACCTCATCCTGTTTACCTCTGACCATTTCTCTAACTTGCTAAGGTCATTTTGAGTTATGTCCCTATCCTCCAAAGAAGTTGCAACCCCACCCAGTTTGGTATCATCTGCAAACTTAATAAGCGTACTCTTTATCCCAATATCTACATCATTGTTTGTGTGTGTATGGAAGCTATGAGACTTATCTCTTGTTCCCTTTGAAGCTAAGATTATCAAAAACCCAAAGAAATGGGCACTTGCTTGTTCAGCTCAGTTTTAGTCTAACAACCCTCCCTGGCACAATTAGGAACATAGAAAGCTTGGGTCATAAGTTCTAGTTTATCATATCTGATTTGACTTTCCTTTTTGGATCACTGTGTACCTCAGGCTTCTATGAATAGAAAGCATTAAAAACAGAGGCAAAGCTCTACTGGTGGTCAATTCATCTTTCGTCTAAGTCTGGATTGTTCCCTACTAGCTGCTTTTGCCTCATTTAGTTCTGAAATATAAACCCTCTTGCTTGGGTATATTGCTATCGTTGTACTATAGGGTGAACCTCTCTAGTCCAGAACTCACTGGTACGGAAATATCCGTGGGCTGGCATGATTTTAGTTAGCCGAATGTCTGCTTTTCATGGGTGTGACCAAGTTTCCTGCGATCACATCAAGTTTGTTTACACCCACCAGTCCTGGATCTCAATTCTCTGTGCTGTTATTTAGCTCTAATTTACCTCTAAGGGTGCGTCTAGACTGGCAAGATTTTGCGCAAAAGTAGCTGCTTTTGCGCAAAAACTTGCCGCCTGTCTATACTTGCTGGACTTTGCCGCCTGTCTATACTGGCTGCGAGTATTTGCGCAAGAACACTGACTTTGTACTGTACAAAATCAGTGCTTCCTGTGCAAATACTCCGATGCTTCTGCTCAGGGATAAGCCCTCTTGCCCAAGTATTCTTGCACAAGAGGGCCAGTGTAGACAGGCATGTTAATTTCTTGCGCAAGAAAGCCTGATGGCTAAAATGGCCATCGGCGCTTTCTTGCGCAAGAGAGTGTCTACACTGGCACGGACGCTTTTGCGCAAAAGATGTCTTTTGTGCGAAAGCATCCGTGCCAGTGTAGACGCTCTTTTGCGCAAATACTTTTAACGGAAAAGCTTTTCTGTTAAAAGTATTTGCACAAAATCATGACAGTGTAGACACAGCCTAAATGTCTTGTCAGAGACCAGTGAGCAGTAGAAGTGTTGGTAATGCTACTAGACAATATTGACCTCCTGTGGTCTGGAAAAATCTCTGGTTTAGAACTGGTTAGATCCCAAGGATGCCGGACTAGAGAAGTTCAACCTTAGTGAGACTGAGAGTCCTTAAGCGTTCCCAACAGGAGGTCACAAACCAGCTATTCCAAGCAGGGTGGAGTTTCCAACCAGGGCAGAGCCTTGTGCTTGCTTTTCATCCCATTTCCTGGACTATCAGGGAGCAAGGGGAAAGTATTTGCTTTCCGTGTATGTCTCTCTCACCTGGATAGTGAAAGGAGGGGGCAGAGGAGTAAATCACCGAATGTAAGTACTTTCCCCTCGCTCCCTGATAGTCCAAGGAATGGGATGAAAAACAAGGCAAGTCCTGGTACATGCAGCTGCTGCCCCCCTCCTTCTCACCCTCCCAAAACAGCGCCCTTGTGTTCCAGATGACCCCTTGCTAAGAGTTAGGGGCAATATCTGCAGCTGGTGTAAGATGGTGCATGGCTCCATCAAGTTCGCTCCCCGCTGGTGTAAATCAACATAGCTCCCATCTGGCTTGAATGCGTTTTTCTCAGAAAAGCTGGCCCTGTTTAATTCTCTCATAAAAAATGGAAAATGAGACACCAGTCTCTGAACATAAGAATGGCCAAAGGTCCATCTAGCCCAGTGTCCTGTCTGCTGATAGTGGCCAGCACCAGGTGCCCCAGAGAGGGTGAACCGAAGACAATGATCAAGCGATTTGTCTCCTGCCATCCCTCTCCAGCCTCTGACAGAGGCCAGGGACACCACAAACAGAGGCCAAGGACACCATTTTATCCCCTGGCTAATAGCCTTTTATGGCCCTAACCTCCATGACATTATCTAGCTTCTCTTTAAACTCTGTTCTAGTCCTAGCCTTCACAGCCTCCTCTGGCAAGGAGTTCCACAGGTTGACTACACGCTGTGTGAAGAAGAACTTTCTTTTATTAGTTTTAAACCTGCTACCCATTAACTTCATCTGATGTCCTCTAGTTCTTCTATTTAGGGAACTAACAAATAACTTTTCTTTATTCGCCCTTTCCACACCACTCATGATTTTATAGACCTCTATCATATCCCCCTCAGTCTCCTCTTTTCTAAACTGAAAAACCCCAGTTGTTTTAACCTCTCTTCATATGGGATCCATTCCAAACCCCTAATCATTTTAGTTGCCCTTTTCTGAACCCTTTCTAAGGCCAAAATATCTTTTTTGAGGTGAGGAGACCACATCTGTACACAGTATTCAAGATGTGGGCGTACCATAGTTTTATACAGGGACAGTAAGATATTCTGGGTCTTATTTTCTATCCCTTTCTTAATAATTCCTAGCATCCTATTTGCCTTTTTGACCGCCGCTGCACTCTGTGCGGAAGTTTTCAGAGAACTGTCCATGATAACTCCAAGATCTCTTTCCTGATTTGTTATAGCCAAATTAGCACCCATCATGCTGTACTTATAGTTGGGGTTATTTTTCCCCATGTGCATTACTTTACGCTTATCCACATTAAATTTCATTTGCCATTTTGTTGCCCAATCATTCAGTTTGGTGAGATCTTTTTGGAGTCCCTCACAGTCTGCTTCTGTCTTGACTATCCTAAACAGTTTGGTATCATCCACAAACTTTACCACCTCACTGCTTACCCCTTTCTCCAGATCATTTATGGTCCTGTATGTTTCCAGCCTGCAGAGGGTAAAACAGATCCACGGAAAGGTCCCTCTTTCTGTCTCCTCTGTGGCACAGGGGATTAGAACGTCAATGCATTGAGACCAGTGGTTTTCAGCCTGTGTTTCATGGACCACTGTGCATCTGCAGACTGTGCCTAGGACTTCCAAAGGGATCCGGTTCTTTGATCAAAATGTTTTAGGGGTCCACAAATAAGTCTAAAAACCATTGATTTTTTTTTTAGACCCGCTATTTAAGCTATTACAGCGTGTAGTCAGCAGTCAGTACACCATCTTCAGCTAATTAATATTCTGGGCAGAAAAGCCTGCTTAGACAGTTGACTATAGTTCTCAAACATAACATAGTCTCCCTCCACTCCAGAGAACATCCCGTCCCAATGTAACGATTTAATTAGAAAGCAACCTAATTATCTGAGAACCTTTCAGAACATGCATGGGCTTGTGTATTTCTTAATTGTCATCATCTGTTGACTAACCCTTTGATCTCCAAATCCAGATAGATCATCCCTGTGTGTTTCTGTACATCATAGGAAAAAGCAAGATGTCCCTCATAGCATTTGCAAAACTAAGTTCCTGCCAGTATTCAAGAATCTAAGTATTTCAAAGGGGCTCTCAATACATGGCCAGTGGTGTGTATTTTTAATGGAGATTGACTGGTTAGATAGGAAATAAAAATTCTTACTTAAATGAATTTCTTCTAGCAGAGAACAAGGCCTAAAGATTCTTACCTTGTTAAGATCCTCCAGCACAGATATTCACCTCTGAGAAACGTATGGCACAGAATCTGGTATGTCTGGTTCTGCTCTCTTAATCCAGTGAATTACTCTGGATTTGCACGCGTGTACGCTCCCATCTTGTGTGCTTAAACTGTAGCTATCCTAAAATGGTCACCAAAAGAGTACAGGTTGAATCTCTCTAATCCGGCACGCTCTGGTCAGGCAATATCCATGGCCCAGCATGATTTTAGCTAGCCGCATGTCCACTTATCACAGGTATGGCCAAATTTTCCGCAGTTCCATAAAGCGTGTTCGCAGCCCCAAGTTCTGGCTCTGTGTTTTGTGCTCTCATTTAGCCCTGAATGTCTCAAAAAGCCCAGCATGTAGAATAGTGATAGAAACTTAGCTGTGTTAGTCTGGTGTAGCTGAAACAAGAGACAGGACTATGTAGCGCTTTAAAGACTAACAAGATGGTTTATTAGGTGGTGAGCTTTCCTGGGCCAGACCCACTTCCTCAGTGGGTCTGACCCAGGAAAGCTCACCACCTAATAAACCATCTTGTTAGTCTTTAAAGTGCTACATAGTCCTGTTTTTTTGTTTCAAAGAGCCTAGTAAGCAAGGGAGGTGTTGGTAATGCTGCTAGACAACATTGACCTCCTGTGGTTTGGAAAATTCATCACCAGTCAGGTCCTGAGAGTGCTGGACCAGAGAGGTTCAACCTGTGTCTATTTTGGTTTATCACCAATCACAGGAAACCTGATTCTTTGCATCTGTATTCGTACAGTCACAGTTTAAGGGCAGACTAGGTTCTTAACTCCCTTCTGAACATCTAAACCCCTTGTCCAAGCTCCTGAAGTCCTCCCAGTTCATCCTCTAAAGAGCCCAATTCTTGTTTGGCAATAGAAGATCTTAGATGCACCCTCAACTATAACCAAACCCCCACTGGGCTGGGCAATAACACGGCGTGTTGGGAGAGGGGGAACCCCTATGCCAGTAAAGAACTAAAGTGAAAATCCAGTGTTAGTGCCCAGGCCCACTGAGCACAGCTACTCCTGTGGGCCACAGAAGTGAGGCTTGCAAGTCCCTGATTGGTGCTACCTCCACTCAGATAAGGAGCATTTTGTGCATGGGTAGATCTGAGCTGCACTGGGGAGCTGTGATCGCCGCCTGTATAGTCCCTGCTGATGTAGCTGTGATTGAGCTAGCTTGCCAGAAGCAGCAATGACAGTACTGGGTCTGCTTTCTGCTGATCTGCTAGTGGGCTGGAGGGCAGGTGCTGCAACATGAATGATCTGTCCCGTGTCAATAAGGGGTGAGCTGTGGATTTTGTACTTCATAGGCAAGGCTCATCTGAAAAAAGCGATCATGCAGCACGAGGAAGCCATGAGAATCCACAGCCTGTGTAAGATCCTGAGGAAGATGGACATCCTCCAGGAGGTCCTCTCCTTCGCTCACAAGCGCTCGCTGAGCAGATACTCGGAAATCGATCACGAGGAAGACTTCTTCGAAACAGGCGATGCCCCGGACATCCATCGTAAGTGGTGTTCAGGGCAGAGGGAGCACCATGGGCTTTGTTCTGGGTCTCTGATCCTTCGGGCTCCTTCTCTCTTAATGCTGATTATCCCCTCGGGAAGTAAACAGGCATGTGGGCTTGAGGAGCCATGTCGGGAGAGTTCGTGTCGTTATTAACGTCCTCTGCAGCTCAGACTGTGGTGTGAAACCCAGCCCTTTCCTCCATCCTGTAGGATGAGAGTAGAATTGGCATTTTTGTGGCACTGCTAATCCAAGAAGTTGGGTGCGCTTCATAAACACGAAGCTCCATTTCCTCCCTCTCCCACATCTCACCCCTTAAGTGGTTATGTGAGGTATTTTACGGGGTGTGGGGGGAGGAACTGCAGTGCAAGGAAACAGTGGTCTGCCCAGGATCACATAGTGATCGCACAGAACCACTCAGATCAGCTGGTTAGTTTAATACGTGTTACATGGCAGTTTCCTGAATCGTTGTTATGGGGTGGGGTACATTGTGGGCCAAGCCATCAGCTGCAGTAAACAGGCACAGCCCCATGGACTGAAATGGAGCTTGACTGACACCAGCTGGGAGCCTGGGCCTGCCATGTTAAATTAAAATGAATGGAGATTGCCTATCTCCTAGAACTGGAAGAGACCTTAAAAGGTCGTTGAGTCCACAGCAGGACCAAGTACCATCCCTGACAAACTTTTGCCCCAAAGGGCCTCCTCAAGGATTGAACTTACAACCCAGGGTTTAGCAGGCCAATGCTCAAACCACTGAGCTATCCCTCCCCTTGAGCAGAGTGGGGCTTTTCTACTGATTATGCTGCTGCTGTCCTGGTGATATTACTCTAGAAATCGAGTCTTTGGCCAGGCCCCCATGGTACAAACGCAGAGCAAAGAGGTGCCTGCCCCAAAGAGCTTACAATCTGAGCATAAGGCAAAAAGGAACCAATGGATGCAGTCAGACGCGGAAGACTAGAGAAAAAGTGAGACCGTATTGGTCAGCTGGGTCTGCTTGGCCAGTAGAGCTGTACAGAAGCATCAGCTGCTGGTTCATTTGTGCAACCAAGGAACATCATCTTTGTGTGCTTATTTTATTTTATTTTTTTGTTAGCCAAAACCAATCAGAGACCAGAGATAAAATCTCCCAACTTCCCCCAGGTGAAGGTGACCGACATCTTCCATAGACTGGTACGTACGCCGACGAGAGGAAACGGGCTGGCACCTGGGACCTACCCACCCCAGTGCTGTAACTGCTAGGAGCCCATCCCCTGGGGCACCTCTGCGTGTAGCATCTTCTCGAGGCTCTGTGGGTGGGGCCCTGAGCAGCCCCAAGTGCAAGGCCATGTGACTGTGCCGCTCCAGGCAGCCTGTCACGTCTCGTGCGAGCTGAAGGTGCAACATCCAGCCCAGGTAGACGTGTGCTCGCCAGCTTTCAGCCAGCATGGGGGGTGGCACGGGTAAGTTCCTATTGTCCCGAGTGGGGCTGCGATAGGGGCGACTGGCCCGGCCCACCACCCGTGCTGCCGCCGCTCCGCTGCAGTGTGAGCTGATCAGAGCTAGCCTGTCTGTTACCCGGCTGGAAATTGACCTCGCGCGCTTGCCTTCCCTTCATCCCTAATAGCAGATCCTAGGAGATTAGGGTCGGAAGCGACCTAAGGAGATCATCTTGTCCAAGCCCCTGCTCAAAGCAGGGCCCCGCCAGGCCTTTGTCAAGCCAGGCCTTAAAAACCTCTAGGGATAGAGATTCTACCCCCTCCCTAGGGAACCCAGCCCAGAGCTTCCCCACCTCCTAGGGAAGTAGTTTTTCCTAATATCCCACCTAGACCTCCCCCACTGCAACTTGAGCCCATTGCTCCTTGTTCTGCCATCTGTCACCACTGAGAACAGCCTCTCTCCAGCCTCTTTGGAGCTGCCCTTCAGGTAGTTGAAGGCTGCTCTCAAATCCCCCCTCAGACTAAGCCAAGTTCAAATCCCTCAGCCTCTCCTCATAAGCCATGTGCCCCAGTCCGCTCATCGTGTTCGTTGCCGTTTGCTGGACTCTGTTTGCCCATGTCCTTTCTGTAAAGGAGCTGGGGGGGAGGGGGGCAGTACTGGATGCAATACTCCAAATGTGGTCTCACGAGAGCCAAATACATCAATCACTTCCCTCGGTCTGCTGGCAATGCTCCTATTAATGCAGCCCAATACGCCATTAGCCTTCTTGGCAACAAGGACGCCCTGTTGGCTCCTATCCAGCTTGTTGTCCGCTGTTATCTTCAGGGTATTTTCTGCAAAACTGCTACTGAGCCAGTCGCTCTTCAGCCTGTAGCCTGTGTCCTCACTGCACCTCATCAGATTTTTTTTTGGACCAATCCTCCAATATGTCTGGATCACTGTGGACCCAATCCCTGCCCTTCAGCGTATCTACCGCTTCCCTATCTTCGTGTCATCCGCAAACTTGCTCCAGGTGCAACCCATCCCTGCATCCAGCTCGTTACTGAGCCCGGCCCCAGGACCTACCTTTGGGGCACTCTGCTTGATACCAGCTGGCAGCTAGACATCGAGCTGTTGAGCACTACCTGCTGAGCCAGGCCATCTAGCCAACTTTCTATCCACCCCTCCATCCAAGCCATACTTCTTTAACTTGCTGGCAAAAATACCGTGGGAATACTCTGCCCCCATTCCCATAGTACTGCCAGCTGCTCGTGGAGCCGTTTGTGCAGGGTGCCCAGGATGTGTGTGGCACGTAGCTTCAGAGGACTGTAGAGCAGCAGAATACTACAGGCATCTGCACTCTGGGTAGCTAGATGGCCACAGCTGAGGAGTCAGGGTGCCCTTAAGGAAGGCCCAATCCTACTCCGGCTAGAGTCAAGGGAAGCTCTGCCGTTAATTGCACTGGAAGCAGGATCTGATTGTAAGGGCACAGAGCTGTCGCTGTGCCCTGCTTCGGACCCACGTGCGCACCCTCTGGACTGGCGTTCCAGAAAGCAGTGGAAGATGAAAACCACCCTAGCTGGATTGCAGTTCTCCATCTAAAATCCTGACCTAGAGCCCCCCTTCTCCTCCCCTGCTTTGTTCCCATGGGAGGGAGTTGAAAGTCAGTTCTACGCACCAAGGGGAAGTAGATTTGTGTCTTTGCTTTCTTTTAATTTTGGCTGAAGGTCTGAATCTAGCCCCAGATGCCCTAGAATTTGAGAACACTCCCATCCCTTTTTCGTAAAAGGGGTGCAAATTAGACGTATCGCAGTCGCTAATGAAGCGGGGATTTAAATCTCCCCCTTCATTAGCATAAAAATGGAGTTTTGCCGGAAAAAAGCGCCAGTCTAGACGCGGATCTTTTGGAAAATAAAGCTTTTTCTGAAAGATCCCTTATCCCTCTTAAAATAGGAGATAAAGGCTCTTTTGGAAAAGGCTTTATTTTCCGAAAGATCCGCGTCTAGACTGGCGCTTTTTTCCAGCAAAGCTCCAAGCCGGAAAAAAGCGGCAGCCATTTTTATGCTACTGAAGGGGGAGATTTAAATCCCCGCTTCATTAGCGATTGCGATACGTCTAATTTGCACCCCTTTTACAAAAAAGGGATGCAATCTAGACGTAGCCCCAGGGTCTGGCAGCTGCTCTAGGTGGTTAGATCTTGCCTCCGTCCTCTCAAGAAGCGGGTTGAAAGGTGTGGAATGGGTTGAGTGTCCTTTAGTTAAGCAGTGCCAATCCGAAACTCCTTCCCTGCCTTTTGAACGGCCACAAGTTCGCAGTCACTCTGACGTGTAGTCAGCGTGGATTCTTGGTGGGCACAAACCCGGATTGTCCGCGGAGCACAAATGACCAAGCATGGCTCTTTCTTGGGCAGTGACTCCACGTCCGCGGGAGCGCTGTGAGGCAGGGGACTAGGGCTGGGCTGCAGAGCTCACGGCCGCACTGAAACATGCCGTCGTGTGTCTGTGCGCCCAGGGCCCGCTGTCAGTCTTTTCAGCCAAAAACCAGTGGAGCCCTGCACGGCAAGTCCACCTGGTCAGAGGAGAACACGGCTTTGGGTTCACGCTCCGAGGGGATTCCCCCGTCCTGATTGCTGCCGTGATCCCAGGCGGCTGCGCGGCGGTAAGTAGCAAACGCGTCCCTCGTCCCCGTCGCACCTTGCTGGAGGCGCGCGTGCGCAGCCGGTTATTAGCACTGCCTCTGACTCAGGGTGCCTGGCATTTCCTAGTGAGATTGTATTCCAGCTGCTTCCCGCTTCCCCATCTTCAACCGCCTGGGCTGATCGTTCCTATGCTGGGGGACAATCTCCAGTTGAATCCCCCACGCCCGCCCCTCTTCAGACAAAGTGGTTGAGCTGTTTGAGAACAAGCAGAGGACAAATGCATCGGCTTGCCCACGTAAACAACGTCTGGAAACTATTTTTTTTTTCTTTGGGAAGTTCTAGCGCCTCCGTGCTTTGGAGCAGACCCTTGACATTTGGCAGGGGGTTGGCCTTTGTGTTGGGGTGGGTCTTCATCGTCCTCCTGGAGATCCTCCCAAATCTGCCTGAGTTACAAGTCTTTGGGGGAAAAATCCCATTTGGCACATGCTCAGCAGTCACTAGACAATCACAGCTGAATTCCCCAAGGATTCTGTCCACACTAAGCATGGGACTTTCCCTGCAGTTGCATTTGCTGGCTACTCTGGGCTGTATTAGGTTCAGAAACCAGAACGGAGAGCAAGGAGACTGACCTGTGCTCAGTGTCGCCCCGGGTAACGTGTCAGCCGTGGGAAGGAGGGCAGCTGCTTGCATCGCAGGCGGAGAGGACTAGAACTGGCTCTTGGGGACTATGTTAGATACCGGAGCAAGGAGCCATGGGGATGGAAAGACGCTTGGACTGGAGGCTGGCATGGTGGGTGGGAGGAGGGACATTGGCAGCTGAGACTGGGAGCTGGGGATGAGACAGATGACTAAGAAGGAGGAGAAGAGACCGTGCATGTGGAGCCATGGGAAGAACTGAAACTGGGCCAAGAGACATGGGGCTTGCGGTGGGGGCTGGAGATGCTGGGATTGGACAAAGGGCCAGGGAGGGAAGCACAGAACGTGAGTGGGGGATGGCTGGAAGCCGAAGTTGAGGGTGGAGGGGGGGAGATGGAGCAGGGGGGAGGGTGTGAAAGGAAGCTGGACTGGCA